ACAGTCAGCATATTCCCTAAGTGCATAGTCTCTCTAAATGCATGGCCTTGTTTGGCCCCCAACTCATATAACACTTACAACTATTGTCAACTTTCAATACTTTCTGCCATGGAACATCAGGGCCTTCATATTTGAGATTATAATACTCAGCGCCTGTAGAAAAGTCTGCAGAATAATAGGCTACCTCATCGGTCGAAGTCAAAGCAGTTCTAGTTTTTCCATCGAAACTAACTGAATATAGATGTCGTTCAATCGAGGATTTTTCAGTACTCATAAAATATCTAGAAAATAGTTATCAAGTTACACGTTAATATTATTTTTAAAAAACATTGATCCAATAAGTGCAAACGTACATGAGCTCTCGTTTGCGATCTACAGCTTTAACTCCATCCACAACTTCCCAATTACCACTGGTAAGATATTGTGGTGTATTGGAATCTAATGGAGAAAATATTGCAAGGTGATTATATCCATTATTTACAACTACATCGATGTAAGAATCTTGAGTGATGCTGCCGCCTTTTTGGAGGAAGACCCAACTTCTGGTCTGAATAGAAAAATCATAAGAACATTAGCCTGACACTAAAAATGACAGATGTCAAATGACTAAAAATACGTACAATTTCAAACCATCCTCCATCCATTTGATCTGCATTTTCCTCTCGAACCGTTGTACCATTGCGAGTATCGACGTCGACTAGAACAACTCTCGCAATATCCTGTACACGATTCATGACTCTAACCAATACACTATCATTACCAACCCAGCAAACTTCAGTAATTATTTTATCATCAGAAGGAAAATCATTTGTAAAAACAGTAGCACCCGATTGAGACATCAAAGGAGTTGTTGTATCGTATATGTGAAAAGTGACAATAGGATTCGGATAACCAGGTTTTGGATATTTCATAACAACCTCTCTTACATATGGTTCGACATGCATTCCATCAACATAGAGTGGAAAACGATATTCAGGCACTTCACTTTCATTTAAACGAAGATATGCGATACGCTTTCCATCAGGAGACCACCATAGCGCGGATTTTGCAGAAAGAACCTCCTCTGTAGGAATAAATATTTTAGAAATAGGAACACATGATAAACACAATGATACGTACATGATAAAAAATTTTAATATTTATTAAGTACCTTCGTAGATCCAATCTGGAACTCCATTAAAAACAACATCAGATCCGTCATATGTTATTCGTCGTTCCTCAGTCAATCCTAACGATATATATACATCATTATCTTTGACAAATGCCTTAGGCACATTTGAGTTTATTCAAAAATAAATTATATATCCAAATAAAAGTCTAACCAGAATTTTTAAAGAGGTTGAAAATTCATCTTACAATATCATGACCAACAGGACTCCATGTAACATAAGATATTACAGCTTGATGGGTTGAATTAATTCCTTGCGTGAGAGGAAAAGTATTTTTTGAAGAAATATTAAAAATATAATAATTTGCGGTATAAGAATGTCTCCATCCCTACATAAAAAAGTCATAAAATGGATTTAATACGGTACTTGAAAATAGAACATACTTAATATGTGGTTAATAAGCCTGTTTTTACCTTTGTAAAATTAACTCCAAATAATACGTATTGATTATCCGGTGATACAAAAAACTCGAAATAACTGAGAGGTCCACCATACGGCTAATAATATAATAATAATAATATAGTAATAATAATATAATAATAATAATAATAATAATTAAACATATTAGAAAAATTAAATAAACAATAAAATAAAAATTATATAGGAACGCAAATATACATCAATAATATCTGTGCCTTTCACTAAAGTTTTTTTCGATCTATCTGATATTTGTTCCAAAATAATATTATTATCACCATCTTGATAAATGAATTCACCATCATCATCCCCTGAATAAGAAAGAGTATAATGATTTTTTTAATTGATACTAAAAAAAAAAAAAAAAAAAAAAAAAAAAAGGAGCTATGTGAAGCTTAATTTACCAGCTGAACTCCATTTCAATGATGTATATTGAGGATAAAAACTTCCATTATATATATCATCAAATTGTATACGATTTAGAGTACTCGTTTGGGAAGTAGTCCCGATAGTGGTAGAACGATAATATGCGTATATGATTGTTGAGCCAACCCATGCGATTATAAAAACAGCAGCAATAATAAGACACGGAAGAATTGATCTTTCATTTGTCTATAAAATTACAATTTTGACATAATGATAGTTGATCAGAAACTTTTATAAAAATAAGACATTTTCTTTATTGAAAGTAATTTAAAAAAGTCAACTCACATTATTTTTTGAATACCCTCTGCCCTCCCAATTTTCACCCATGTCGACTACAGTATCGTCTTCCCCCTTTTCTTTACTAAGCATAATCTCACGCTCCTCATTCTCCATTGTTTCATAGGAGTCTTCTTCGGGCTCCGGTGGGGAATCAGTTCCCTGTACCCACAAAGGTTCCGAAGTTTCACCGGGCTCACTTAAAGCACTTTCATTATGTTCATTATCAATGTCTTTTGAGGGTACTGAAGTATATTTGCTAATTCTCATAATTCCTTGAGTCTAAAATTTACAATAATGTAAAAGACATAAAATGGTTGTGTTCTTTTCTTCAAAAATTAAAACTTCTAAGCCACTACTAAGCCAGTCGGTTATCTTGCTAAGCCAGCTGGTAGAGAAGCTTGTTCTTCTTATTTACGAGTTTAAAAACTAGTTTAAATGAAAATGATAATAATTGCCACACGAAATTTCACGCTATAATTTATATATACTAAATACTAACACTAAATAATGTAATATATACACTACTCGTGAAATTATCGGAACATTTCCTTATTTGTTTGAAAAGAAATAAACTGATCATATATGTACTCGTATAACAAATATTGAATATGGATAGTTGTTTGATCAATATATGAAAAAAGGACGATAAAAAAAAAAAAACTCGAAATGAAGACCACGTTAATGTATAAGAAATTGCCAGGTGGGGCACGTACGTACGTACGTACTTGCATTCGATTTTGTATAAGAATCGAATTTCTAGATTCAAACAAGTCGCGAACGTATGAAGCGATACGATAGTAACACAACAATCACTAATAATTTCGACAATTTATATCGATAAAGTCTTTATGTAATAACAGATGAGATTAAAAAAAGTAGGTTGATTAATTGAACACGGAAGTTACCAGTTGCGTACTTAAAGTTAAAATAATTGATAATGGGATTTGATTTTTTTTTTTTTTTTTTAACTGATACTGTATCAAAATTTTATTAGATTGTTATCCGTAGTGCACTGCACTCCTTTCTCTTAAATATCCAAGTATTTTTACACGCACTTTTTCTTTTAACCGGCCAGGTATTTTGCACGGCATTTTTCATATTATCATCATTATCACTAGTTATCACTAGAGATCAAACATTTTTGTGGCAGTGCTACCCAATTACCATGGTACGTAACACTTATGATGTATTGTCGTAAGTCATAATATAATAACATAGGCCATAAATACAGCCATACTCCTTATAATCACACAGTTGAACTTTAAAAGAATGTTCTTGTAAAGAGATGCGTTTACGGTACAGTATATAGAGGTCATTCAATTCGCCCAAGAAGGATTGTATTTCATATGCGCAAATTACTACGTATTAAATTTACGGCAATTTCTATTTGTACACTAGTGTCGGGTTCTAACAAAAAATAATCTAGTATAAACTACTCTCTGCCCAAACCTCTAACCCTATCCTAACTTTAATCTAATTTAAATTGATTTACAAATTACGTGTTTCATACACTAGTGTAAATTAAGAAATTTTCTAAATTTACAATATATATTACGTATGTACGTACGTATAATTATGAATCTTTTTTTCATACGTAGCTAATTTTTTTTTACTAAAATTGGCTTATTTAATTACAAAATAAAGTATTTATATTCTATTTTTTATCACTGGTAAAAATTTAAAATTTCAACATACCGAATGGCTGCCATTCGACTGCTTTGAATGAGTCGAATGGCAACTATTCGGTATATCGAATGGCAGTCATTCAACATGTCGAATTTTTATTTTTACTGGTGTTATCAGTTATACTATATACTGTATACGTATAAAATTTTCTTTCATAATTACTTAAAACATATAGTAATTCACACTACAATAACTATATATATACTGTTATATGAATTGCTAATTAAATACGTAGTAATTGGGACTTGAATATAGATATGATTATAAAAAGGTTTTATATGGTGTAATTATATAGAGCGCAATTACAGTATAAAGTATAACTATATACAGTAGTACGTATATAAGTAGTAATATATATATACTGTATATAGTATATTATATTTAAGTTAATAAAAATTAATTAACTACATATACTGTATAAATACAGTATTTAATTTAATTATTCAAAAACAAAAATTATTTATTACTACCTCTTTAAATGCATAGCATTAGAGGATGGAATCGATGAAGAATTATTCAATCATCGATCAAAAATTTCGAGCATCGAAGTAAGCTTTCACTTTAATTCGAACATTGGTCAAAGCTAAAATTTACTATTTGGTTTGATGATATATTTATTAATAATTTATTATAAATAACAAAAAACAAAGCCATTGATGAAAATTTTATGTTACACTAAATTCTTTATATATGTTTTTAAAAAACTCGAAATTAGATTGCTCGAAACTCATCGATTCCAAGCTCTACATAGCATGGGACGGCCAAAAATCTTGCATTTAGAGAGATATTGGTAAAAATCTATAAGTGTTATATGAGTTGGGGGCCAAACAAGGCCATGCATTTAGAGAGACTATGCACTTAGGGAATATGCTGACTGT